CCGTGGCTTCTCCAACGAATGATTCAAAGGTAGTATTCAACCTATTCAAGAAGGTGATTTTTCCAAGATTTGGTGTCTCAAGAGCTATAATTAGTGATGGGGTCGCATTTTAAGCACCACACCTTTAGTCGCCTTCCCGATAAGTTTGGTGTATCTCACAAAAGAGGGCTTGCTTACCACCCTCAAACAAGTGGTGAAGCGGAAATTACCAATAGGGAGCTCATTGACTCTTTATGGGCGTATAGAACGGTTTAAAAGACTTCAATAGGGACCACTCCCTATAAGCTTGTATATGGAAAAAATTATCATTTGCCGGTAGAAATGCAGCACCGAACTCATTGGGCCATCAAGCAATTCAATTTCGATCTCCATAGTGCGGGTGAGCAACGAATTCTTGAGTTACATGAGTTAGAAGAATTGAGAATGAATGCCTATGATAGTGCGAGCATTTACAAGGCAATGACCAGAGCTTGGCATGATGCTCAAATCGTCAAGAAGGAATTTGTCGAAGGCAAAAGAGTCCTCCTCTACAACTCTCGTTTGAAGCTCTTCCTGGGAAAGCTTAAATCATGATGGAGTGGGCCATTTGTCATCACAAGAGTGTTTCCCTATGGTGCTTTTAAGATCTCGAATGATGAGCACCCCCCGTTCAAAGTTAATAGTCACCGCCTCAAGCCCTACTTGAAGGACTCCCCGTTGATAAGCCAATTTCTACTACGCTTCTTGATGTGCATCATCCACATGATCCACCTTGATTTAGTTCAAGGGTGTCGAACTAACAAGGTAAACTAAAAGCGCTTCCGGGAGGCAATCCGAGTTTCTAACCCTTTTTCTACTATTCTCTTCTCTTCATACTTTAATCTTTCTATCTATAATTTTAGATTGATGGATTTGTGTGTTTTGGTTGTGTTGGAATTTTTGTATGTCTTGCCTCTATGGAAAGTACATTTTACATGGTTCTTAGCATGATTGTGTGGTGTGTTTTAGTGTGTTTTGAAGAGAAGTTTTTGTGCAAATTTTGAAGCTTTTCTTTTTGGGGGAAGTCCGAACGAGCTCCATTGAGGTTCAGGCACTCTCAATCTGGAAACAAAACTGTGTTGCAAACTGAGAATTTTGAAAATTTGGGTGGTTCGACTGAACTCCATAAAGGTTCGGTCGAACCTTGGAAAAAGGTGTGACCGAACTTTCTGGAGTTCGGTCGCTTCTATTCAGGAATTAAAATTAGAAAACATTTTGCTAGAATGATAAAATTGAAGATTGAGAGTAGGTTTGACCAAACCTTGGTGTGACCGAACTTTCTGGAGTTTGGTCGCTCCTGTTCAGGAAATGAAATCTGAAAAATAATATCTGCCAAATTGCTGAAATTAAAGATTGAGAGTAGGTTCCACCGAACTTTGGTTTAGTTCGATCGAACTTTGGTTTAGTTCGACCAAACCTTGGAGAAAGTTCGACCGAACCTACCCAAGGTTCGACCGAACTTCTATCAAGCAGGTTTTTTTTAAACGCCAAAACATTCGTAGCTCTCATTCTCCATTCACCCATTCGACACACACTCTCTCTCTTCTCTTCTCCTTCTCACTCTAAAACTCCATTGTCACACCCCCTTTCAACCTCAAACCTCCATCAAAAGCACTCCAACCTCTAACCTATTTTTCATCCTTTACTCAATTTGTACAATCTCCACCCAAAATTCCTCACAAAAATCCATTTTTTCAAAATTTTCCCAATCTCTAGGTTTTGAGTGACTTGGTATTTTTGGGTTTTCACTTGCTTTCAATCAATTATGTTATGGTTATTCTAGCTTTATCAAGTTCATTTTGTCAATTTCTCTTAGTTTTACCATGTTCTACATGTTAAAGTATGAATTGTGGTAATATTGAAAATGTTAGTAATGGCTTGTTTGATGTTTATGGTTCTTGGGATTTCCTTGTTGCAATTGAATTGTTGTTGATGGTAGAAATTGTTTTTTGATTATTATGCAAGTATACCTTGATTTTACTTGATTTCAATGTATTTGCTTAAATATGTTGATTTTTCTCTAGGTTGTTCATGTTACCTCTTGTTTGAGAAATTCATGAGTTGGATGTAATTTTGTGATTGTTACTCATTGTCCTTGGTTTGATTTTGATTGGTTGTGAGTGATTATCATGAATTTTGGGGGACTTCATGCCCATTTTCACCTAGACTTTCTTAGGATTTGCATTTGATAGCCATAGGACTTTTCGCTCACGCCTTGGTTTATAAGTGTTCATTAATGCCTTGAATTGTAGTGTTGTTATCCTATACATCTATTTCGAAATTCATGGCTATTACTTTCATGCATACACTTTTTATCTTGGCAAGCTTTTTATGTCACCTCTTGGCTGGAATCTTCCTAATGATAGCTCTTGGTTGTTTTGTAGAGTCAAAATGTTTGGCAAAGGTAAAGGCAAATCCAAGAGGAAAAGGGCGGGTGAGCCTTCAACACCCTCTTTCCCGCCTCCTCCTGGCATTAATGATCACGACATAATTGCTCTGAATGATAACTTCTTGAATATCTACATAAATCTCATAACTCGTCCTATTCGATCAACAAGATTCTTTTGTGCTACAACCTTAAGGAGACTCGGCATCAAAGATGAAAGTCGTTCTCTTAGCATAAAACTTTGGTTAGGGCGATTTCATCGATCTTCACGCTCACACCTATGAGCGAATCACATTAGAGTTCCTTGCCTCTCTTCGCAAGAGGTCATTGAGGAAGACGAAGAGAGGAATGAAGCTCAAATTGTTGTTCACTTTCGAATGTTTAACGAAGACCATTCCCTAACTGAGGATGATTTAAATGACATCTTCCATTGGCATGCAACCGAATTTTATCACCCTTCCAATATGACCTCGATGTATCGCATCCCATACAATGAGCAAGAGTGGTGGCGGAGCATCTCTACCAAGGACCATTTTTGCACTAACACGACAAGGTTAACAACATCATCCATATTTATATGAGATACTTTGCCCGGCTTCTTCAATATGATGTATTATTCAAGGGAAACCTTGGCTCTATGGTGAAATTTGAGGTAGCTTGCCTCTTCTTAGCTGACAATCCTCAACACCTAAAGTTCCAATGCTCCTCAACTTTTATCTCGAGACTATTGGACACTTGTGATGGCCGCCTTGGTGACGAGATTCACATGGGGGGCATGATCACTCTAATTGCCCTTTCCTTGAAAGATGGGGGGGCATACAAGGACCAAATTGTAATACTTTCCCATGTGCTCCAAAACAAAGAGGAAGTGGTCAAAGGCTTTCCTCCTTATGCTCTCTCTATCGTTGCGCTCCGCCAATAACGTTTCATCAATTACACCATCAACCAAAGTAAGTATATTCTGTTGGTGGATAATGGGGAAGAATGGTGTGTCCTTCCGGACTCGCCGATCCGTGCCATTTATGGCACCTTTAGGCTATGTTTTCTTAATATTTCAATGCTCGTTTTAAGTCGTTTATGTCGTGTTTTAGAGAAAAATGTTCGATTTGCGTGTTTTTGTGTTAGTTTAGAGAAATGCGTACTTTAATCGTTTTCTTATCATTTTATTCATTTCTTGGCTATTTCTCTCGCTTATTTGTTTCTTTGTCTTGTTTTATAGGTACGTCCCGGGCTATATGCATGGGAATCAAAAATAACATCCACTAGCATCGATATGTACTTTTCAGAATTGAATTTGAGTTAGAAACAAAGGAAAACAAAGGTTTGCAAAGTATCAAAAACGACCTTTGTGCATTGTTTCAGCCATATCTCGAGTTCTACAGATCGGATTAAGGTGATTCAAGCTGGGTTAGAAACTTAACTTGAAGATCTTTCTAATGATAGGTCGAACACCGTCATACAATTCCTAGATTGTGAGTTACAGCTTTCCAAAGTTGACCCTGCAAATCTCCCGCGGGCGCGGGCTACAATACCCGCGGGCGCAGGGCTGCTACAACCTATTTCTACCCATTTTCGACCAGGAACTTGGAGAGGGATGGCCGCAAGAACCCCGTGGGTGCGGCTGATTTTTCCGCAGGCGCGGCTTTCTAGGTTTTACTTGCGATTTCACTTATTTCCTCCTTTTGTATATATAGTGGAAGGCCTTCTTTATTCTTCATACGTGAAATACATTAGTTTAGAATAGTCTCTCTCTCCTCTAAGGAGGATTAGGTGAGATTAGGAGGTTCTCTCTCTAGATTAGGAGTAGATCTTAGAGAGAGAAAGTGAATAATTTCAATGGTGATTGAGAGATTGAAGATACAAGTGTGACAATTGTGTTCAAGATCTTCTCTATTATCAATGAGCATTCTTAACTCTATCTCACCTTATTGCTTTGTTTAATATCATGTTTGTTTGGATTGATTTTGATGTTTGATGCTTGATTAGTGTAGTTGTTATTGTTATATTGTTGATTCTTGATTTCTTTAGTTGATTGTTGATAGATGATGATAGTTGAGTAGTTGTTGGCTAGGAATTGGGTGAAACTTGTATGATTGATTAATTGTGATTAATTTGGGAATTGTGTTGATTTTTTGTTGAGATTAAAGTGATTTGTGAAGGTTTGCATGTGTGTAATTCGATTAGGCCTTCAGAATTGTACTAGATTGCATTGTAATAGCTAATGACACAAACAATTGATTTAGTAATTGCAATTATCAATTGGTTTTGATTATGATTCTCTTATTTTGTTATTCATAGTGAACCCTAGCTTAACAATTTGGAGATAGCTCTTTGATTTCAATTGATTGCTCTTATCCTTAGTCTTCACAACCTTTGATTGGCATGCTCTTCCCAAGTTGTTGCAATTGACATGATTACTTCACTACTACAAAAATGGCCAAAGAGACCATATCAAAATGGCCAAAGGGACTACCTTAAGGGTGGTCTCTAACTCACACGTCTCTTTGGCCAAAAGACCACTTTATTAAAAGTGGTCTAACTTTAAACACCTGAGACCACCTAGCTAAAATAAATGGTCTCTCTTTTTAGTTTAATAATTAATAATACAAAGGGACAAGAGACCAAATGTTTTAAATAGGTGGTCTCTAGATTTAAAAACTAAGACCACCAATTTTAAATGAGTGGTCTTTGGTTTTTGAATAATGAGACCACTTATTTAAGATAGATGGTCTCTCTATGCTCGCTTTTTTAAAAAAAAAAAAATTATTATTATTATATTCGTATTGATTCCCGACCCTTTTGCAATTCATATTCCTGCAATACCAATGCATATATATATAAAATAAATTTTCTATATATATATAACACCCAAAATTTACATTAATTCTAATATTAAAAAACAAAACTCAAATGTAGGGCTTCTCCTCAAACAGAAAAAAGTCAAAAGTGGAGCTAGGTTTACAAGTACAGTGATTAACACTAAGCTAATCTCGTACTCAAGCTCAGCTCATTCTTCATTAAGCTCGTCCATCACGAATCTTCTTCCTCTGGCTCATGATCAAGAACATATTTAATCCACAAATCTCGCATTTTATCAATGTCTTCCGAAGAATACGTACAAATCGAGGGAAAGACTTGCAACATACAACATATGCCATCAAATATGAGTATAATTTATTTTTGACGGAAATCAGAGAGATATTTAACCAAAAGCCAAAAATCAGACATAACAAAGTATATTGATGAACATCCTCAATCCACAACTTTAGCTCACTTTTTGGTTTTTTTTTGTTTTGTTTTGTTTTTTTTTTCACAAGAAAAGGAAATATATTACAACTTAGATGTTAAAAAATCTAGCAGATCAGAGTTTGTAACCAGAAGCAGTTTCCAAGTTTGCTTACTAGCTAAAAATTGCAAACCAAGAAACCTTAACCACCCGAAAGACAAAAAGTAAAGATTAGCTAAAAATAAAAGCATGAAAGAAAAGTAGAAGTGATAATTGATAGGGGAGCCTCGCAGCAGAGACTTAGGAGCAGCAGCAAAAGAAGGCATGCGATAAGTTGCCATCTAACATGGCAAAGGAATTAGCAAGTTCCTTAATGTAGGGCTGGTTAAGACCTTCTACTCAGAAACCGTGGGCTGTGTACACTAGGAAGAGGCGTAAACCAGCAGCAGCAGACTAATGCAAGGCAAAGGAGCCACACAGTCAGCCAAGCAAACAGACAGACCAATGCAAACAGAAAGACACCATTGGGAGATAGAAGACAAGCTACTTAAGGAAGTCTCAGGGGTCAAGTTCATAACAGACCAATGCTGGTTGACGAGGACACTATAATAATGCAAAAAATTAATCATTAACAAGATATTAGATTTTAGGGTTAAATTGCATTATATAGCTGAAGCACAAAGGATTTCAAAAGTTCTAAAATTCTCAATTAAGTTCTCTAAATCTTCTTTTATTGAAGTAACAGGAAAGAGCATGGTGAGGATTGTCACTATTAATCTAATCAACGAGGCAAAACAGAACACTTTTCTTTGCTCCCAACTACTGTATTAATATATCTCAGATTGGGGAAAATATTACAGGGAAAGAAAGCAAAAAAGCTTCTTAATCATGAAATAGCAGAGAACTGAATGCGACAAAAAAAAAAATTTGAAGACAGAAACAGAAGGTTACAACAATAAGAACTCACTGTTTCCACAAAGTAGTTATGAAAGGTTTAGCATATACTTACAATTGTTTCTTCAAAATATTGATAGCCAAGTCTGCCACCTCGTTATTTTGAAGTCCTCTTCTTCGAACTATCACGATTTCTTTCACTCAATTTCTACAATAATTATATTTGATGTCAGAGTTAATCCAAACAAATTTTATTGTCTCTATAATGGCCATATTACACTTTCAGCACTTTAATTTTGTTTTACATATGGAGTACCAAATTGAAAGCACTTACCAGAATTATCATATAAAGGCTATGATATGATGTCAGTTGTGTAAACATGCACAGAACAAGAAGACACGGACATATTGGCACTCCAAGTCCTATATCTTTCAAAAGTAACTTTTTTTCATTGATCTTTTCTTAAGTTAACAGTTCACGATCATAAATAAGAGAAGCTAGCACAAATTAGCTTGCCTACAGTCTAGTTATGGCGAGCCTGTCCTACATTTTAAAAGCAAAATGGGTAATTTCATGAATATTTGTTTGAGACTTCTCAAAAAGATCTTACATTTAGCCCACTGAATCCATGTTCTTATGCGGCTATTTGCCCGAACCACCAAACCACAACACTGCCCTTGACCAAACTAACAATGACAAATTACATGATCCGAAAGGTAACCCAAACAGGTTAGTGTTGTTTATGTGAATATAGAAATTGAAGTTTGCTGAATTGATGGGGTATGCATAATATACGGAGTTAGATCAAACCATAAGCTACGGGGATGCATCCGCTTCACACAACAGGTATTGTTCTCTTCTAATTACTTTTACTCAAGCCAACTCAGATTTGTACCAAATTTTAAAACTTAATTTAACTGATTATAACTAATCCTTAGCAATATAAAGTAAATTTGGTAGTTTTACTTGATCTCATCATCAAAGTAAACTAATTTCTAAAAAATTTTATTGATATTAAGACGAATTATACTCAAGCGGTTATTGTGTGCATTTAGCATATATACAGACACCTGTATAAGCATTATTTACTCAAGTTGAGTCTACCATAACCCATTAGCGTCAGCCTTTCATCAACTGAGGTTATTGTGTGCATTTTGCATACATAATTCAATTTTTATAGTTCTTTAATCAGATTTCTAAAATAAGATTAATACTTGTAGAAATTTAGGCCCAAAAACAAGAATTTACTTTATAAGCATTTACTCAAGTGTGATCTAATTTGCAACATATAAAATCTTTAAAGAGGCAAATAAACAACTAGTTATTAATCCCAGCATTTATCATTCAATTTGAGCTTCATACAGACACGTATTAACAACATAATCAACATTTCTATCATCAAGTACAATATCAGCCCAGAAATTGTGAGTAGCACGATTATCACGCACCTAAACAGAAACCAAAATCAAACCACCATAATTTCTCATAAAAACAACATAAATACCACGAACATGAAATTGCAGAAATGAAAGAAAAAACAAAAAATCTAAAAGAGAAAGCAAGAAATACCTAAATACCGAGCTCCCAAGAAGCATTTTCGAGCAAGAGAAAGACGAACTTCGCCTGGAGTTGTGATGGTGAGAGTTTCGCCTGATTCGAGCGTCGGAAGCACCGTCGACGGCGGCAAAGACTCGAGATCGACGAACTTCAGCATTGGGTTAGGGATTGCGAGAGCGAGAAAGTTGTAGCCGCTCAATCGGAGTCAGATTCCGGCATTGAAGAGCATGATATAGAGAGAGATTGAGAGAGGATAGAGAGACGGTGGGGGTTGGGTTTTTGAGGAAATGATATTAGGGTTTGGGTTTAGCCTCTTTACCGAGTTTTTAGCCTTTAATTTTTATTTTATTTTTTTATTTGTTATTTCTTTGGAAATCAGACTTTAAAAAGTAAATAATTTTTTTTATTTAATTAAAAAAAAAAGGAGAGACCACTTTTCATAAATAGATGGTCCCTCTTTTTTATTTATTTATTTAATTTAATTAAAAAAAAAGGAGAGATCACTTTTTGTAAATAGGTGGTCTCTCTCTTTTATTTATTTATTTAATTAATTAAAAAAAAAGAGACCACTTTTTGTAAATAGATGGTCTCTCTATTTTATTTATTTATTTAATTTAAAAAAAAAAGGAGAGACCACTTCTCCTAAATAAATGTTCTCTCTTATTTAATTTATTTAATTAAAAAGAAGGAGAGACCACTTAATTAAAATAGTTGGTCTTTAGTACATTTTCATCTCTCTAAGACTATACGTAAGAGACCATTTATTTGAAATATTTGGTCTCTTGAATCCAAGAGACCACATATTTATTTAAATGGTCTCTTACTTAAGGTCTCTTTGAGCATTTTTGTAGTAGTGCTTGTTGATCCCCATTCCTAGTGTTTTATTTCCTTGGTTACTTGTTTTGTTAGTTTTTAGTATTCTCTCTTACCTTCGTCTTCGATCTAGCTTAGGCGCATAATTGAAAGTTCTTGAACATAACTGTTCCTTTGTGTTCGGTCCTTGACTTGTCTCTATACTCGTATTTAGGTTTGTTAAGTGTTTATAAAATTAGTTTGACCGAGGGAAGATTAGATAACGACCTAGTTTTCCCTTCGTCAAATTTGCGCCGTTGCCGGGGAACGGTGTCTATGTTTGAATGTTTTTGATTGCTTGAGTCTAGGTCATTGAATATACTTTTCTTTTATTTGAATTTTGTTTGTTTTGTGAAAAAAAAAATGGCATGCCTATCATTTCCTCAATACGACAGTGAGCCTTTTTGTGAATATTTCATTAGACTTGAGGGATTTTTAGACTATAATTGTTGTAATATTTGGGAGGCTTGTGAGATTTGTTATTTTGGTTTGAATGAGCAAACTAGAAATGAAGTTGAATGCATACATAATGGTGAATTTAGAGCATTGTCAATTGATGATGCTTGGGATTTTTAGATTTGGTTTGCAAGGGATGTTTATGATAAGGGTAATCATGAGTCTAATATTGATATGCAATGTCTTGATTCTTCTAATATTAGCATGAATTCCAATGATTTGTCACATGATCTCTTAAGTGAGCCTAGAACACATGATTTCAACTTTATTTCTCCTTTTGTTCATGATGATGAAGTGCATGCTCAAGTTGATTCTATTTGTGTGTTTCAATATTCTTCATTATTTACCATGACTTCTTGTGATGTGCTTCTTTCCCTTAATGATGAATCTCACGTGTTTGATTATGCCCCCACTCCCCAATGTGATGTATATGCTCATGATCTTAATGTTGATTCTTTCAATCTTGGTTGTACTTCTTCTTCTTCTCTTGTTACTACTACAAAAACATGAATATAAAACGCCTGAAACAAGCCATATAGAACGCCTCTAAGGCGTTATTCTGAGGGGGTGCTCTATAACCTCTACATAACGCCTCTTTGAGGCGATCTATATCTAACATAATACAGATCGCCTATCTGAGATAGGCGCTTCATATTCTAGGTATAAAGTAAATAAAAAAACAAGGAAAATAGAACAGTTATCTTAGCGTATAAATAGAGAACGCCTACCACAGATAGGCGCTCTCTTTTCCTTACCTTTTTTAAAAAAAAAATATTATTATTATTTAATTATAAAATAATAATAATAATAATAATAATAATAATAAATAAAATACCACAACAATAACATTTTATTTAACAAAAAAATTAAAATACATGTATTTCAATTACAATAACTAAATTCGTTGAGGAAAAAAAATACATTACAAGTTCTCTAATACTATTGATTATTTATCTATACCGCTAACAACAATTGCGACCTTGCGAGTTTAGAGAAGAAATCAATGCATATTGTGTCAATGCCTGCAGTTGTTCAGCAAAATTTCACTCTAATATCTGGCTAAAGCGAAGCTTTTGGATTGAAATTTTTCATCGAATATGGAATCCCCCCATGGGTGAGAAGGTTGAGTTACAGACTCCGTAAGCGTTATAGCCTGTTTCCAATACTCGGCGGCTGGGGCCGGATTGAGCCATTTAATAGCTTCATTTCGAACTATATCCGATAGTTCGTATCCCCCTTCAACCGGCTTCCTCTCCCTTTGCCTTAGTGCTAGACGCGGGTGAACCAGCGAGAGTCTGTGAGCGCTCCTGCGTGTAAGCATGGACCCTTCGGCTACTACCGGCTGGAAAGGCTTGGCTCAACATTCGGTCTCACGTAGCTCACCTAAGAAAGGACGGAGCTGTCGAGTGAGGATTGGGCGAGGGAAGTTCCAGTGAAGCGCCAGGCCAAGTCAGAAAGGCGCTTGAGAGGTTTTAACAAACCTCTCACACCTTGAGTGCCATATGAACCCTCTATGAACGTTGTTGGATGTCAGAGGCTCTCTAAAGAAAAAGGACGAGTGGTTTTGTAACCTTTCATTTCCATTTAGGTCCGATTCGGATCCCTCTGTTGTTTCCTTTTCCTCCCGCACCCTGCATGTGGCTCGTCCGTGCTTTCCGAGACGCTGCCTGTGACTCAGCATGGGATAAGAGGCGAAAAACAACAAGTGATAAGACCTATTTGCATATTAACAACAAGAACAATCATAGAATAATTTAAATCCAAATAGTATGTAACAATGTAACATACATATTAACCGGCCAAATGACGCTCAATAACTGAATAATCAACATGAACATGTAACAAAAATCCATACATAAGCAACAAGAATAGATCCATAAACAAAAAGTAATAAAAGTGTAAAATCACCTCTAAAATTCAAGTGTTCGTATTTCATATATCAAATGTTAAAACCCACAAAAAGATCAAACATCTCACTTAATCAAAATGAAAATCAGAAATTTTAAAGTTTATATAATTGAAATTCAAATCCATTTCTAAAGTGAAAATCAGACAATTAAGATTTAAAATTACTAATTGAAAATTAAAACCAAATTTTAAAATTAATATCAGAAATTTTAATTAGAATAAAATCAAAAGTTTGAATTAAAAAAAAAAAGAAACTTGGATCTAAATTATAGATAAAAAATCGTGAAATGAACACCACCTAAAACACGAATTGATGAATGACGGTGGTTCAATAGAACCAAGGGCGTCATTCACACAGCCCAGAAATGCCACAATCAGACTTTTGCGACCAAAGAACCTAACAGTCATCACGATCTTACTTTCGCAAAACAAACCACCCAAAAATCATCACGATATGAATTTCGCAAAAAAAAAAAAAAAAAAAAAAAAAAAAAAACCATGATCGAACCTTTGAGCACCGCGCCACGTCGGAGTTAGAGTTGGAAAGCAAGGAGTGATGGTGGTATAAAAGGTTGTTGTTGTGTGTGTGCGTGGTGGGGAGAGAAGTGACTGATAATTAAGTGTTGAAGTTAGAGGATAGAGGGCCAATTGACCATATTGGTATAAAAATTAACACCCTTATGACAGATTGGTATAAAAGTTATTGCCGGCGACATATTGGTATAAAAATTAACATGTGGCGACATATTGGTATAAAAATTAACATGTGGCGACATATTAGTATATAAGTCAACAAATTGAGATATTTACCCCTATTTTCTTGTCGGAGGATATGCGTATGATACACGCGCTTAATTTTAGTGCTAATAACTTTTATTTGACATTTTGTTTTTTGTACTTTTCTCTACTTTTTATATTAATTTTAAAAAATTATGAAGTAAAAATCCAAAAAAAAAAAAGTTGAAAGCCCAAAAGTGATGAGAAAGAAGCTAGGGAAAAACGAATAGGAAAGCTTGAGCAAAGGGATATAAGCTTGAATGTATTGAGGGCGTTGGTCATTGAAGCATCACAAGGGTAGATTCTTTTTTTTTTTTTTTTTTAAAAAAAAACACTCATATATATATTTTTTCTTATTATATTGTTGATTTACAAAGTTGTGGGTATAATACAAATGAAGTAATAATGAAAGTTAGCGTCTACTAGTAATTGATTTTGAAATTAAATAATTAATATTGAGATTTTGTTTATTGTTTATTAGTTTTTTGGGGTTTTATCGTTTGATTGATTTATCAAAGTTATTGTATTGGAAGGGAAGAGGGAAAATTTATTATTTGGTGCTGAATAAGTATATTATGATAATAAATAAGATTGCAAAAGTAATTAAAACAAATTTTTGAAGTATACAACATGCTCTTTCATCCGAAGAAAAAATAGGGGTAAAGGTCACAATTTGTTAATTTATATACCAATATGTCGCCACATGTTAATTCTTATATCAATATGTCGCCTACAATAATTTATATAACAATATGTCATAAGAGTGTTAACTTATGTACCAATATGGTCAATTGGCCGAGGATAGAGGGGTCAAGGTTAGAAGAGGGAATGAGGATAGAGATTAGGGAAGTGGGAAGTGGTGGCTTAGGAAAAATGAAGTAGGGTTAGAGTGAAATTGTGGAATACGAGATATTTTTTTCTTTTTTCTTTTTTTCTCAATATATTATACTTATAGAACGGTTAAGGGGCGTTCTATATCATATAGTGTTATATTTGGATATATCATATAGAGCTGTTAATTTAGACAGGCGCTCTATAGGTTTCAACCTACAGAACGCTTATCATGCTAGAGATCGCCTGTGAAACTTAACAGTTATGTATTGTGCGTTGCTTATTCCACATTTTCTGGTAGTGTGTTGAACCTCAACCTTCTACATCTTTTGAATCTCTTGTTTATATATTTGAGTCTCAAATTAGGTGCATTGAGCTTGATAATGAGCTTAGGCCTAGTAAGGAGATGATTCTTAATTTTATGAGAGGTCAATTAGAGATAATAAAAAATAATGAGGAGGAGGAGGAAAAGAGAACAGGAGAAGAGTTAGAAAGCCAATTGCCATCCTTGATGCTTGTTTGTGAAAAATCCCAATTTAATGAGTGTGTTGAGGATGATGATGCTGATTTTGAGCAACCAAGAGAGTGTGAGGATCACATTGGTGAGCATTTGAGTGATGGTGAAGGAGTTGAGAATGAAAAT